ACAGCCCCACACACAGCCTGGCCTTGGGGCAGGGGGCACAAAGCAGCCTCCTCTCCTCCTCCTCAGGAAGGCACTGCTCCAGGTGAGTTCCCCCTTCCCCAAAAACCAGCCTGGAGAGACTTCACAGACCTGCAGCTCCCCTCCACTGCACCTTTCCAAGCCAGAATTTCCATCATTTATGTCAAATAAAGACCCAATTTCTGCCAGTTAGTAACACCTTCTAACTGGTAACTCCTCCTTGATAACACCTGCTAACTGCTAACTCCATGGTGCCTAAACTTATAAATGAAATACCAGAGTAGTTAAAAAAGGAGTTTATTGTTTATTTTGAAAAGAGTAACACTGGTGATTTCCCTGTCATTGCACCAAGTTTATTTAAGAGGAAATCCAGCCACTTTGGGGTTGGCTGACACCATCAAGAGCTGAACAACTGCCTCCTAAAAATAACTTGAGCACATAAAAGATTTTCTGTGAGAAATCTAAAGATAGATTCTTGTTCAGCACAGAAAGGCAGAGCTCCAGACAAGTTGTATTTATTCCTTTGTCATTTAGCACACCCCACCAAGGCATGAAACAGAAAATACCATCCAAATCCTGCCAGACCACCAGACACACAACCCCAACCCCAGGCAGAGCTGCCTGGAGGCACAAACTGCTGCCTCAAGTGGAAAACAGAGCCAAGGCTGCCTCTGAAGGAGGAAACAGCCCTCTCCCAGAACTCAAGTGGATCCACTCCAGTGTCCCTGGGATACTCGGATGGAACACTCCACTGATGAGCTTCAGGCACAGGGACAGCAGAGCTGCCGGGGAAAAGTGACACTGGCATGGTCCCTAAAGCAAAGAATGACCAAAGAACTGCCCAAACCCATGGACACCAAGGGTGCAGCTCCCGGGGGAACAACTGCTCTGTGTGCAGGCACAGAACTCCTGCAACTCGCTCTGAACCTGAAGCATCACCCACTGCACACTCAGCCATTGTGCATCAAACAAAACACCTCAAGGCGTTATTTTACCACCTTCCTCAGTGGACTGAGTATTTTATGTTTTCCAACAACTTCTTGTGGCCGGGGTTATATCTCTGTAACTGAGCATGGTGCTGTGGCACTCGAATCTCGTGTTTTAGCTCATAAAACAAGCTGTAAGTTGAATTAAGTACTGCAGTGGGTACTCGTATGCACTGACTCCAACCTGTGCGGTTAAGACAAGGCAGACTTGATTTGGTTCTGCTTTATTTCGACTTAAAACAGGAGAAGCACTGCAGTGGAAAAGACTCAGAGGGAAGTCTGGTCACCCCCGAGCCCGGTGAGCCAACACTTCCCACGGCCCAAGCGGGCAAACCGTGACACGCCTGGACAAAAGCAAAACCACAAGAACAGTCCCGAAGCCTCTCGGCGGGCGCCGGTCCGAGGTGCTGCGGCCGGGCGAGCACCCTGAGCCCGTTATGGGGCCCG